TGTTTCTAACTCTCTATCTCTCTCCCTTCCTCTCTGTAAAAAATCAATAAAATATATTAAAAAAAAAAGTCTTCAAAAGGCTCAGCCAGCATGGCTCAGTGGTTAAGCTTCAACCTATGCACCAGGAGGACACGATTGGATTCCTTGTCAGGGCACATGCCCAGGTTGCAGTCTTGATCCCTGGTGGCGGGTGTGCAGGAAGCAGCCAATCAATGATTCTCTTTCATAATGTCTCTCTCTCTCCCCATATCTCTCTCTGTCTGTCTCTCTTCCTCTTATTTCCTCTTTGAAATCAATAAAAATATATTTAAAAATTTTTTAAAGTCAAAGGTTTTATTTAACTTACTAGAGGCCCAGTGCATGAATTCATGCATGGGTGGGGTCCAGCAGACCCGGCTCCAGTTGATCAGTCCTGTCAAGGTGAGGAGGAGATGGTGGAAGGTTGGCTGGCCAGCCTGCCCCGATTAGGGTGTGGGGAGCCGATTGGGGGTGGGGTTGGCTTTGGGAAGGTGCTGTGGGTGGTGGGCCGGCTGGCCTGTCCCCCAAATGGGGTAGGGGAGCCAATCAGGGGCCAGCAGCCTGGGGGCTGTGGGAGATTGTCTGGCCAGCCCCAACCCTGATTTTTGTGTGTGAGGGGCATTCAGGGGTGGAGTTGGCTGTGGGGAGGGGCTGTGGGCTGATCTGGGTAGTGGGGGTTGATAAGGACTGGGGCTGGCTATGGGGAGGGGCTGTGAGTGGTAGGCTGACCATCCTTGCCCCCTATTGGTGTGGGAGTGGGACAATCAGGGGTTGGGCTGACCATAGGAATGGGCTGCAGGCTGACTGGAGTAGGATGGGCCCATTGGGAGCTGGCCTGGCCAGGGGGAGGGGCTCTAGGAGGTTGGCTGGCTGGGCTCACCCCCTATTGGGGTGGGGAGCAATCAGGGGCAGGGCCAGCCAGGGGAAGGGGTTGCAGGCTGATCAGAGTGGGGCAGGCCAATGGGGGCCAGGACTGGCCCAGGGGAAGGGCCGCAGGGAAGTTGGCCAGCAGCCCCGCACTTGATCAGGATGGGAGAGGCTGATCAGGAGCTGGACCAGCCAGGAGGCGGGGCTGTGGGAGGTTGGCTGGCTGGCCCCACCCCCCAATTGGGCTGGTTCACTGGTCGCACTGGGCATCATAGTAACTAGTCGTTCCAGTGGTTTCGACGTTCTGGTTGCTGGCTTTATATATATATATTA